TTTGTAATCAAGTAAAGTCCTCAGTTCTTGTTCCTCTCCATCAGCTAGTTTAATCTCCTCTGCAACACACTCATTATTCATTACCTATAATCAGTACATAATATTAAACAAGGTCTCATACAGTTACAGTATCTTATACTTTGTATCTGATCCTATTATCATAGACAGTGTAGTGGCCAATGGTTAGTCTAATTAAACTAAATTCCTTCATCAAGACAGCTAGGTTGTCTTGTGCTTCCAAGAGAAGAGCAGCTAGTAAATGATGTGGACCATAACAGATGATAATGATGGAGTTCCCACGATGAATGCTTCGTACAATAATCCTCTTGTTTAATTCTTTAAATGCTTCCTCTAAAAGATTACGTATGTCATGAAGTGAGTGCTCATCTGGTTCCCATCCCAAAGTAAACTGAATTGTTTCACAAATGAGAAAATGCTGAGGTTGATTCTGACTGAGGAAATCCTTCAATGATCCACAAACTGTCTTCACTTCTTCTTCATATTCTGATATCAGTGGTTTTGCTTCAGTGATTTTAAATCGTTTTACAATTGTTTTTTATTATTGAGATATTATTCACTCGGCATTTTTTGACAGCAATATTCATAATGCTTTCAATGCTATCAGCATTAGACAGCTCAGCACTCAATTCAGGGAAGGATAGTTGAAGAAATGACTTCATTTTTGCAGCTGATGGAATTGATTGAGATATTAATGGAACCAGCTCATCGATAAGAATACCAAAACTTCCTCTGATCTCATCAAACATAGGCTGATTTGCTGCATTGAAAAAGAGCTCACTATCTAATAATAAATATTATTAACAATCAATTTAGACTAATAATGTACTTGAAGTTGATACTGTTGCATTAGCAGTAGGTAATTCATTGACTGTACTACTGGTAACTGATCTAACTACAGTTGTAGTCACTTCAATTTTACCTGCATATACATTATAATTATTAAAAATTATAAAGTGCAAATTTATGTATGGAATAGATTATTCATCTTCCTTAGTGCATTACTGAAATAAGCCTCTCCCTATCAGGAGAGGCTGGAGAGGTTGTATGGTTATACATAAATAATTCATGTACTGAGGTAGGGTTTCTTAGTGGGATACAATAAATGTCATAGAAACAGCGTATCATGCAAGGTGCATAGTAACTTCAAGGAAACTTGATCCAAATTTGTATTGACTGACACATGTACATGTACACATATATTAAACTTACTTAATTTTTCCATTAGTTTAGATGCCATGTTCTTTAGTCCTACTTTCTGTAGTGAAGTAATGAGAGAAAAGAACACACTGTTAGGATTAGGATGACACTCAAGTGTTGCTAGTACTGAAGAGAATATTTTATTAGCTCTATCATAAGGACTAAGTCCTGCAGTACTTTCAACAGTTATATGTACTGCTTTAGGAATGAGATGAGATGAAAAGAGACAATTATTTAACTGTGGAATAACTGGAACATTTCCTGCCAACAGATCAACAAGATCAGCTAAAATTTCTTTCATTGTAATGTATTCTGGTGAAGGTAGAGCTGCTGGTGTTGCAACAAGTACTTGTGGCTGTGATGATGGACCAGCTTTACTTCTTGGTTTTGGTACTGGTGGTGTCTCTGTAGAAGGTTTATTATAACGTCTTGGAGGTACAGGAGGTGGTTGTCTACTCTGTGCTGAAGGTGAAGCTGGTGTACATGTAAGTAGTGATTTTTGGCGTGGCTTAGGGACTGGTGGTGGAGGTTGTGTAGATGACTGGCGTGGTTTAGGTGCTGTTGGTGGAGGTTGTGTGGTTTGTGAAAGTGGTTGTGCCTTTTTTGTTGTTGACAATGGTCGAGGTCGTCCTCTTTGTGATAATGATCTTGGTTTAGGTGCTACTGGGGGAGGAGACTTTAGCGTCTTTTGTGATGAACCTATTAATAGTAATTACTTTTTATAAAACACTGACTGTAACTACAATTTAGTGTTTCCTGATTATGTTAGCCAATTATTGCAATTAATGCAAAAATTGTTTATACCTTTTATTTTTCCAGAAGCTTCTCTCATTTCATGTAGCAGTGTTGGATGTTCTTCAAATGCTCTTCTAAGGAAAGACATTTCTTCATCAGCACTAGTGGCATTTCTAATTTTTCTTATAGTATCAGCATCAAGCAGTGGTAGAGACTCCTCCAGTTGTCCTTTGATCAATAACTCATGAAACTCTATCAATTCAGATACTGTTGGTCTATCATCTGGTATATCCATTAATGCAATAGGAGAGAGTGGAGGACCTCCTATCAATGGTTTGTCTGTACCTGTAGGAGGAGCTGGTCCTGTTGTTGATGAAAAAAGCAAAAATTCATAATTTCCCAAAAGAATAATATGATAGTATTTATCAGGAGCGTGCTCCTGTATTTATGTATTTAATATTATTTATCGTGTAGCTGTATCATAAATATAATACACGGAACTGTGTATTATATCTATGGCTGTATATGGTATACCAATCTATGAATTATATCATATTCTTAAAATCAATTCTTGAGTATATTTACACTCACCAGTAGCAGTACTGTGTACATCATTGGTTCCTTTGATATCATTACTACTGATCATAGCATTATGTTCTATAGAATACACACACACAGTCAATACTAATATAATCAGTGATATTAACTTACTCTCTTGATCTAACTTGTCAGCTGCAGCATTCTCATTCATAAATTTAAGAGCATCTGACAGTGAGTCAAAGGTAGCTCCTCCTTTACTGTCAACATTATCAGCTCTGGACAACCACTGGGAGAGAGTCTCTATCAAGCAATCATTAGCTGTGTCATTGTCTCTTTTAATGGCGTCCAGTGTGTCCTTATGTAGTCCTAGTCTCAGTCCCAGCTCATGCCATCTTGTCTGAGGGAAACCACATCTCTTTAACAGATCAAGTACATCAATAAGTTGATCTATAAAACATAATATATAAATACACTACAGACTACAGTTAATGGATTATTACTAATAGTCAGTGGAGAAGTGAAGAGAGAAGGAGAGCGGCTGCTGCTTTTGGTAGCCATTGCGTTTGCAGGAGGTTAGAGTCGAGTGGGGCTGGTTAATTAGCAATGCATGGGGCGTGGTCCATGACGTCACTAATTTAATGGCGTCATTATTAGGTTCCCTATTTCAAGATGGCGGACAGCAGTATGGTTGAAGATTACCGTAATTTGCCTTTTTTTCGTTGTGGAAATATTTTCGTATGGTCCTAAAATGACGAAAATATTTAAATCGAAAATTTTTGAGCAAACAAAATTTGTGACCTAATTCATCAAAGAAAGACGAAGGTACGGCCTGATGAGTAGGTATCTTCTTGCAGCTCTAACCTTGCTCTATCCACTGGTGCTTCCTGTACTTCAATCAGTTGCTTCACTACTGAGTTATAAAATAAAACGGTCCACCATGTGACAAAAGTAGCCATTTAAGGCCACTCCAATAAGATTCATAGTTTCCCATTACAGAGGCGGGCCTGATGCGGGCGGGCGGGTTTGTTCATTTTCATTAAATTTATTCATTATCAGCTGTATAAATTGCTTGTATAATCAATGAAAAACCGCAATAATGAATAGCGATGCGGCCCCATGCGGGCGGGTAATGGGAAACAAGGAATCAAATTGGAGTGGCCTAATGTTTCCGTTTATTATCTGTAAATTGGTCATTGCTGCATCTCCAGTACTATCCGTATACTAGTAATCTCGGGGGAACAGCCAGGTCAAGAATCTCTTATCTCAAGAATTATAAACACTACTATAGCGGCCTTGTTACCAGTAGGTAAAGGACAAGGTATATGCAAGAGAAGCTAAATTTTCAGACTGTAAAAATTTTCGTACACTATGAGAAGACGAAAATATTTCCAGTATTTTCCACTTGAATTTTTCTGAAACGAAAAATTTTTGTACAAAAAAAAGGCAAATTACGGTAGTTA